AATGTAGTGCATGAGGAGATGGGCTTGGAAAGAAACAAAATATGTGGAAAATAAAATCTATCCTTGCCATCCATGCATTTCTACTCTTCAGGATAGTTTTATTATAGCTTAATTAAAAGTGAATTATCTCTTAATCATAAAGAGATTTTGCTCCACCTGCTCTACATTGAAAAAGCCAGTGAGAAACTGTTGCAGTGGAAGGTACTAAGGATTAAAGAGTGGCTTATCAGCGGTTCTCATACTTAGTTGTGCATGAGTCACGTAGAAAGCTAGTAAACATGAAGACTCGTAGGCCCTCATCCCAGAGATTCCAATTCAGGAGATCTTGGAGAGAGCCTGAGAATCTCACTTTTAACATTTTCTTGGGTGATGCTGCTGCTGGTGGTGCAAGGACCATACTTTATGGCACACTGGCTTGAGCTAACTGTCTGTTAGCTCAATTCCCTTAAAAAAAAAGTGTGGGGGAGGAATTATCACACTTCTGGGCAAGTTTTAGAAACTATGACTACTTTGGAATAAAAGGAAGGAATAGTGTGATTTAAAATAACAGCTAGCATTTACTAGTGCTTACTTATAAATAAAGCATTATTCTAAATACTCGGATTTATTGAATCTAATCCTAATAAGCCACCTTATGAGGTAGATACTCTTACCCTATGCTCATTTTATAAATAAGAAAAGTGAACCCCACAGAAGTTGAGCAATTTGTCCAATATTATATAGTCTGTGTGCTTTGCCACATTTGTACCGTTGAAAGCTTTTAAATCCAGAAGAATCCATAACATCTCAAGTTGATAAAATTGTATATGTGTGTCATATGTGTGTATACCAGCTAAAGATAAATGAGAGATAATTCTCTGCAAGTCTAAAAATTTCTAGAAATATGAAAAGGAATATTTCATGTAAAAACCATAATTACTATTTTACAAACATATATTAATCTTCTTTTTCAAATAGTAATCCTTCTCTTAAAAAGAATGCTTAATAAATTTTATATAATCTGACTTCATATAATTGAAATTATCTTTTGCTAGACACTTCCTCTATAATTTAGGTTAACAATAGCCAAAATTCCTAAAAGATACATTTAACTTTTATTTTAAAATCATCTAGTGATAGACATGCTTATACATAAAAATTATTTTGAACATTATTTGGTTAATGGGGGATCTTCTATGGAAAGATTAATGGGCAAAGATTACATACCTTGTTTTTAAAGTAAACCTCAATTGGCAAAATGAAACCAGCATACCCAGATTCTTCTACTTTGTAAGGTGGATCTTTGCACACTGCAACATCAAAAAGAGAAAACAGGTGAGATGAGCATAAGAAAAAAATACATTCATCTTTCTTTTCTAAAAAAATAAAATCGTATTCTACCATGTAGATCGTCCTCAACTTTCACAGCCCTTTTCCAAGCACTCATCTGCATCTCTGATCTACCCTTTATTTCTTCTCCAGAATCTATAATTTTCCTATGTAAAGCAAATACATGAGTTATTTATTTATTTTTATCATTTTATTTTATTATTTAATTCTTTAATGTCACCACATATTTGACCCCTTTTACCCCATCTACCTTCCTCCTCCCCACTCTACTGTGAGTTATTTATTTAAATCTTGATGAGGGCAACTCATCATAGTCAAACACGGTCATTAATGACTTGACTTCAGTTGTTATTACCCCACCCTAACGTTTAGGGAAACTGAGGGTAGTTCCTTGTGACCCAAAGTTTGAAAATCTCCGAATGAAAGTATTGTCTATGTCTAGTCTTTGATGTAAATCACTCTACCCCTAAACCCCTCACTTCTCTGAGATATTCTGATTTCTATGCCAAAAAGTGGCAGGACCACCCTCCTTCCTTAGAAAATCCCAGACCCAGATTCTCCTAATACTATTGGTGCCCATGAAGTCACAATCCTCCATTCCCCACCCCCACCAAAAGAATGCTTATTTTTAAAATCTATTCACATCATAAGAATATGTAAGAAACAATAAGGCTTCTATATTTCCTATAAAGAGAGACTATTAGGCAAGAGTAGTTAGGCAAGCTCTTCGGAAATGAGAGACACCCTAAAAAGTTAAATATGATTTTACCCCACTAAAATGTCCATTAAATCAAAATCAATCACAGCCAACTGAAATTATCCTACTTAAGACTGCATTTGCTGGTACCAAAAAGAAGAAAAAATGTACATGCTGAACCTGGTAACTCAAGTCCACTGTAACAGGGCTCCAGCCTACCTTTTTAGCCTTCCTCCTTTTGTCACTCACCAAACCCTCTTGTGCTTCATTCAAATGCATCAATTCCCTCAAATATGCCCAACTATGTCCTGTCCCTGCTATTTCTTCCATCACATCTTGATGCTCTTCTTAGTAACCCCTGCTAGTCCAAATTCTAATTTCTTCACAGTGCCTTTCCATACCACAAAGTACTATCATCCCTTTATCCTTCCAAATCATTAACTGTCTGAATCACTGGTTTGATACTCAACAGATTTCCTTAATACTATTTATTCGGAAATCTTATGTGTAATTTCCTTTCATTCTTCAAAGACAGAAACATTTACCTCAGAAACATAGTGTCAAGGGCTCAGGCAAACCTGGGTGCCAATCTGGGATCCACCTCAGACTAGCCAGGTTACCTCTAGAAAGTTACTCCAATTCTCCCTTTAAAAGAGAGAACACCATCTATGCATCTCTAAACATAGCTGTCAAAATGCCAAGAGACTATGTGGGGAACTATAAGTGTGAGGCTAATATAGACAGTGATGATGATGATGTACGTGAAAACCAGTTAGATGTTCCACAAGCACAAATATGGTTACAAAAAGCTATGCTGAAGATAGGATTTTAACACCTGATCATCTCCTTTAGCCCACCTTAGAATCATTTTCCCAAATTGACATTGGAAGAAGTTAATCAAGAATGAGGCATCTTATCTGACCTTACAAGTTTCTCTAATAAAATATGAAAAAGCGAAAGGATTCAGAGTGGCATCAGTCCTTCATCCACTGACCACCTGCCAATCTGTCATGAATATTCAAATATCCTGAACACTGTGGGGTGGGGATGGGTAATGCCACTAAATGTACTAAGCACCCCTCACCCCACCCAAGCCAGAACACCAGTATTCCACCCACAATCTTTTCAGGCTGCAAAGCCCCTTTTCAGAACAGTAGTTTCAATGTCCAGGTTGTTTGGGATTAATGATGCCAACGTCATTTGAAGGATGTTTATTCTGTGGGTTGCTGTACATGCCAGAGAAGTTATAGCTGTTCTTCTATAAACCCTTTTGTATAATTCATTTTCTCTATTCTGCATGCAAATTGCTCCTATTATAGGAAACAGCTGTTAGTGAGCATATCCTATAGTTGAAAGTCTTAGAGATTTTTTCTACCCTCAAAAGGAAATGATCTGTTATGTATTAATATTCCATAGGAGTCTTGTTTTATAAGAAACTGTTTACCAACGCATACCTCAATTATTTTTAAATGTAATACTTTCATAAATAACAATGAACAATACCCATAGAGTACCCTGAGTTCTTAATTAGAAGCAAACAATATTTTATACACAATAAGCATACCAGAAAATCAGCAGCAACACAAAAACAAACATACTTTTAATCTGAAGAAATTCAAATTAGGGGAAGTAGTTTGCTTATTTTATTTATTCAAGTATCTTATAACCAGAATCGTTAACATGAGTTCCTAATCTAGTTCTTAAAAGAAACAGGAGTTAAAACTAAGAAACATTTTAGCCAGTAAGGATAGTATATTAGACATAAAGCAATTATTTTTAAACTAGTACAACCACATTTAGAATCTCCTTCTGTCAGTTTACAACCCTTCTTCATTATGAATTCCTTTTCTGTGATCACTGACCACTGTCACCTTTATAAAATCTAAGCATCTTAAACCCTTCAAGTCATTCATCCTCTCAATTATTCAAGAATGAGATAATCCTTAAGACCTATGTAATAAAAGGCCAAATTTCAGAAGTTATGAAATGGATAGTCATCTTTGGAAAGCCATCTAATTTTTTTAGGTGAAAATAAAATGGGAGGATTAATAATCTTTAAACTACGTAAATTAATTCATTAGAAATCACAGGAAGCTCTTATTCCTGTCAAAATCCAGCCCAGATATTAGCTCTTTCAGAATGTCTCCCTTGTTCCTCTTCTAAGCTTCTCTTATTGCACTTATCAGGCTGTTGCACTTGTCGGGCTGATGGAGAACATTCATTCACCTCTCAGGCTTCTCCACCAAACTGACCCTTGAGGTCAGCAACCCCATCATTATTCATATCTGTAATTCTAGGCACTAACATTGAGCCAAATACTAGGTGCTCAATAAATGATTGTTGAATTGAATTTTGAAAGATTCATGTCACCCTTCACTAATTTACCATTACCCCTTAGCTTTCTAGGACCAGCCATGAGTTGATAGTAGCCAGTCACATTCTTCTCCAAATTCTCTACAATCAACATAAACTTTTAAAAATTGGTATGGGTGATAGAATGTGTTGCCATAGACAAGTCTTCTCTTGGAAGCTGAGTACCCAATGGTAACTGGTTCTAATTCTGACAATACCACATTTTAAGAAAATAAGTTAAATTATGCCAGAAGATCTCCAATGTCATTTTGAAACACTATATAGCCATAATTACCATTTCCCTTCTCCTCTCCTTCCACACATTACAACTCATGTACCCCAAGGCTCTAAGTCAGAGACACTTTCAAAACTCCCTTTGTCCAAGTAAACATATGTACCATGCAGGACTTCCAGCATACAACACCCAAAATTCATGCCTCAGAGGATCAGACCAAAGTTTTTGGAAATAATGAGTAACTGAGTTTTTTCCCTAAAATAGCTTTTCAAAAATAATAGGTACAACATAGACCCATATTCATAATATGAAGTATGATGCTAACTAAATACACTGACCATTAACCTATTTAATTTTTAAGTGTAGCAAAAAATGTACACAGAAAGAAAAACACATGAAAGGGAAAAAGATCATGATTTGGTTAACCTGGAATAAGTCAAATCCTTACTTATTCCCTGAGATTCTTAATATTCTTCCTTCAAAAGAAAAAGGCTTCAGAAAAGCTGTGCTTGGTACAGAAAAACTAATGCTCAGATGAATAAGTGAATTCGTGTTTATATAATAATTATATATACAATAGATACATTTAATTAAAAGATACCATTTTTAGCACTTAAAAAAAAAGGAAAAGAATAAACTCTTCCAGACCCATAACACCCTCATTTAAGAATTTAAATATTTCATTAGGCAACTGTTTTTTCCCTAATCCTTAGGAAAACAGCTGGTAGATGCGTCTCCAAAGCCTCTCTCCAGTGTGTTTTCTTAGACACAATGATTTATGCTCATCTGAATACTTTCGTTAAGGACATGGCCCAGTTGCCCATTGATAATTTCTGGTTTTACTTTATTTGCTATGCAGAAAGCTTCAAGAAGGAAACACACCAAACTCTATGTATGGACTGGTTATTACCACTGCTTTATGCCAAATGTCCCTTCCAGCTTGAGCGTTTGGGCTCCTTCCCTTACTGTTGTAGTTTCACCATACCAGAGCCCTCATGAAGAGTGAAACTGGGTGCTGCAAGGCTCATGTCTCTGCCCCCAACTGTTTTCTGTGAGCGTTTGGAAGTGTAGGGCTAGCATCTAGCAGTCTAAGCACCACAATGCCACTGAACATGGCCAAGCCTTTACACTTGTGACATTATGAAAACAACAAAAATCAACAGTTGGGTTTTGTTTTTATAAGCGCACACACGCACACACACAAATATACACAAAAAGATCTGTTGTTGCTTCTATTTAGCCCATTTCAAAACATATATTTCTAAACAACAAAAAATATTTTCCCCCTTTGTGTCACCTCGTTTCCCTGAAAAAGGATTAAAGATAACACCGGGCAACTTTTGAGTCATATTGTTGATCTGTTTTAACCTGTTGATTTTTTTTTTTCAATGCAATTCAAAAAACCAAATTGATTCTTATTTAATAAAGAACTTTGGGCAGACAAGATAACTGCCCAGCTACCTTTCATAAAGTTTTTAAAAAACAAACTAGACATAGTTAGCTAACTGGGCAGATGTGGAACACCCTTGCCTACCTCCTCAGGATTCACCATTCACCAACTCAAATAGCATCTTCTCTGGAGGGGCTTCTGCCATTTTCCACAAGGAAAATGGTAGTTTCCTTCTTCTGAGTTTAACTCTTTTTCTCATTGCATCGTACTTGTTAATCCTAACATA